TTTTTTTTTTTTTTTTTGGCAGAAGCAGGGATTGAACTCAGGCCCTTGTGCTTGCCAGGGAAGCGCTTATATTCCACTTAGCCATCTCCCTGGCTCACGGGACTCATTCTTGACTCCTCTCAAAATCCTCACCCAATCAGACAGCGAATCCTATTGATAACTCTTAAGATAGAGCCAGAACTTGACCTCACTACTTCCCTGTCTGTACATTACTTTAGTTCAAGACACTATATTTTATTACTACCTTGACGAATCAGAGTCCTACTTTTCTCCATATCCACTATAATCTATGTCTTTCTATGCAGCTACTGAAGTAATCCTTCCAAGTTTAAATCAGACATTGGCTGCTCAAAAATCATTTAACAATTCAAGAGTAAAATCCAAAGTCCTAGAATTTAGCTTCCTACACTGATGCTCCAACTTTAGCACACATCGTATTTGTCAGAAAGGTTAACACAAGATTTCTAGGCCCTATCGCCAGATATTCTGATTCAGTAGGTCTCTGTTAAGAATAGGAACATATTTTTACCAAGTTTGTAGGCGTACTAGTCCAGATTCTTCAAGGAGTAAAAGGCAATTAAATGTATAAGAAATTTACTAGGAGAAAAATCTGTGATAGGAGACAGTAGAAGACTGGCACAACCACTAGACCCAGATATTACTAAATCCCACATAAAGAAGTGATAGATGGAGAGAAGATCTGTAAAGTATCTTTTACTACAGTGAGATTCTAATTAAAGTGTGTAACAAGGTATTAGAGAGTCTTCAAGTTTCCCAAGAACAGACCAGGGAGTTTCTTGCCATATGTAGCCACTGGCTAACAGTAGCCTATGGAAAGCAGTTTGTTTCAGTTCACACAGTGATGGACTGAATTTCAGCATGCACTCGGAAAGGCTGTTATTTAATTATACTCCTGTGCTTGGAGATCTGCAAGCTATATTCTCAAAACTGTCACACTAAGTAAAGTTAATGTTGGTGGCACTAGAAACCAAAGCATAGAAATCATACTTTGAGAACCACTTGCTCCAATGATCTACAACCTCTCATCTAGTCTTCTATCCTCTTCTCTCTCTACTCCCTCCAATCTGGCCACCAGCTTTCATGCTGTTCCTACTCTTCACTTCCTCTAGATCTTTGCTTTATTTTGTCAGTGAGACCTTTCCTAGTTACCTAAAAGTGCCACTAGTCCACTTCCCCATTCTATACCACTGTTCTTCATCCCACTCTCCATCTTATTTTCTCCTATACCAGGATTATTATGCAGCAAATGAATTTATTTTATATATATTGGTTGTTATGTTTCCTACTAGCAAAATTTAACCTCCATACATCATTGTTTACATACACCATTGTTTTGTTCAGAAATATATCCCAAATGCTAGAGTTTAGATCTTGAATACCAGAGGCCCATGTGTAAAAGCTTAGTCCCTAGGATAGCACTACAGAGAGCTGGTGAAACACTGAAGAGGTTAGACCTAAGAGAAAGTCTTTAATTTCATTAGGTGTGTAACATCAAAGAGGACTGTAGCATTCCAGTCTGGTCTTTTTTCTTTCGTTGCTCTCTGGCCATGAAGTGAGTAGCTCTATTCTATCACATGTAGGAATAATGACCACTATCTCCTCACAGGACCAAAACAATAAGGACAATTGATCATAGACTGGAACTTCTAAATTATGACTCAGAATAACCTTTTCTCTTTGTGGTTATTTGTTGCAGTGATGGAATGCTAACATGTAACTACTCAAAATAGTGCCTGGCATAAAGGAACTGTGCAACATAAATATGAACGAATCACATAAATTTCTACAGTTCTAAAAGCAGCTATACAGAAAAGGTTGAAACGAAACTGCTATTAACCTTCTATCTTTCATTGTAATAAAAATTTACTCTACAGTTTCAGCAAAATATTTACCAGTTTCATTAAAATGGAGATAAAAGAAATATAAACAATATATTTTCTTCTAATATAAACAAAATATTTTCTTCTAATTAGAATAGTGAATGAAACATAAATAAAAATTTTAAAAGATATCATCACATACTTACATTCCTGATACTAATGACACTTTGAACACATGCTGGGCAGTAGAAGATGGATTGCCTAAAGCCACATTAAGTGCTCTGTCGATACTGAATGCCATCTGAGAAAGATAACTTTCTGGCTGCTGTCCATAACCATCATATGGCACATAGAGGTAAGGAAAGATGCCATGTAGATGAAGACATGTCTTCTGACCTAAAATGTAACATATTATAAAGTTTAGACTTGAGACACATTTTAACAATACAAAACTCAAAATGCAAGCCATTTAAATGTTGTAACTGTAATATAGCATATCAAAGAATACAAGAAAATTGACCCATAGCTAAGGTCACCTGTATTAACTATATTTTACAACAGACTATTTGGTAGCATTTTGTGAACATAAGCACTGTTGTGTAATTTAAATACTCTATAGTTTTGGTGAAAATATATTTGACTTCTCTTATAATCCAACTAATTTCATGTTTTTTACTAAGTCATCCCATAAAACCACACAGCACAGTATTAAAAAGCTTATAAAATTCACTGAAAATATACCACATACATCAATGAATATCAATCTTGGCATTAATGTTTTAAAATAAGAGATTTCCTAAACACAGATAATAGCTCTTCAAAACGAAAAGAGGGTAAAAAGAGTTGTACTATGTGGAATTTTGCTATTGGAGGTGAGCAGGAAGGTAAAAATAAGGTTTTGCTATAAGAGAAAAATCAAAACAAAGAATTCAATTGTGTGTAATGGACTTGGATGTGACAGAGGGAGAAACAATGGGGATCCTGAGGGGGAAAAGTATTCACGCTTCTCAGAAAATACATCCAAGGTGCTGAAAAGGTAAACAGTAAATGACTTGCCAACATACAATCTGGCACTGCCAGGATAAAGAACACAATAGGAATGAATGCTCACAAAAGAAGTGCCACAGAAACAATAACATATCCAGGGGAAGGTTGACTAACAACAGCAAAGAAAGCAGATGTACCATTACGCTCCTAAATTTGGCAGGGTTGTGTGACAATGGTTCCTGTCCCCATAGCACTGTCACTAGCCCTGTCCAGGGACAAGCCATTCCTCTAATTCAGTAGGAAAAACAAAACTATTTTTATGCTATCACTCACTACCACTGTGCTGTTCCCAGTAGCACAATCTTCAGACTTCTTCCTTATACCTATTTCCTTCATTCTGTTCAATGAGTTTTGGTTTTTTTTTTTTTTTTTCTTTTAGGAGAGAGTAGCTTTTTGTTTTATTATTTCCATTTATGGTTTAGAATGACCGCTTTATAAAATATATAGAAAATAGTTCTATATTTTATTGATACTTTGTATTTATACTTATAAGAAATAGTATCAGCCCATCTTATTTTTAAAGTACAATTATAACAACAAAGAAATCTGGAAGTTATTATATAAAGTACAACAAAACTGGAAAGATCAGTAACATGGAAGAGGATTTGGAACATCTAAATTATAATATTCTGATTTGGAATACCAATCACATTTTTGAAGAATTATCAATTATGTTGGTTATACAAATTTCAATTCCATTTTTTTTGTTTGTTTTTTTGGCAGAACCGGGGATTGAACTCTGGCCCTTGTGCTTGCCGGGGAAGCATTTATCCCACTGAGCCATCTCCCCAGCTCCAAAAATGGAATAAGGATTTTTTTTTTTTTTTTTTCTCAGTGTGCCTTCAGGGCAGGTTTGGCTGGCTTGAGTTGTGGGGATCAAACCACAGCAACCTGAACCTGAGTGCTTTGTTGAAGCAGCCACTTAAAGAACTGAGCTAAGGGGCAGGCCCCTTCAATTCCTTTTAGAAGCAGTAGAGCTATTTAACTTCAAAGGAATAAAAATTATTTTCTGTTAAAAGCAGTATTTGGCTATTATATTTCTAAATGAAATTACATTATTGTCTAAATATTGTAGCTTTAAAATTCTTCACATAAAAAAATTCTAATTACAATAATATGTCTTAAGAAAACATTCATTCTACTTAGGGATGGTCTACTTAAATGCTTTTTAAATATCCGATAAAGATTATAAAGATCACCCTTTTGTATATAAACCACAACTTGATTAAGAGCAACTAATATGCTAAACTACACGGGGAGGGATATAAAAAAAAACCAGAAGCATTTCCTCTTAAATCTATAAATTCAAGACCAGTGATTTCAAAAGTACTGGTGTAACAGTATATTTTATAAACAATTTCATAAGTTCCTCATAATAGTATCATGGTCAATATCTTAATGAAATTTTGGGTAAACTTTATGAGAATTATAAAAACTAATTTCTAATATGGGGCACAATGTTCAAAGGTAACTATATTTTCACATTTCCTGTGAATTAGGAGTCAGAAAAATAATCTATTTACAAGCTTTGAAATTATAATAATTGGGGAAATATGATTTAGGAAAAAATATGTACTTAACAGGCACTTGGAAGTGCTTCGCATATATATTTATTTCTAAAACTTAGAAGCACCTTGCAAGTGTCACTGAGACTAACTTAAAATGATGTGGCTTTTAAGTAACTGAATCAGGATTTAAAAGTAGATTAACAAAACCTAAAACCAATGCTCTTTCTAGTTAACATTAACTGAATTTTTTTTTAAGCCAACATTATCTTCTGTAACTTCTATTTTAATTAGTTGTTTTCTTGGCTCTATAATTTCTTTTTTTTTTAATTTTATTTATTTATTTGTGTGTGTGTGTGTGTGTGTGTGTGTGTGTCCAGCTCAGCCCACCAGGGGGCGGGGCGGGCTGGCATGTGGTGCTGGGGGATTGAACCGCGGTCCCTGTGCTTTGCTAAGCTTGTTCTAAGTAGGTGCTTTAGACCACTGAGCCATCTCACCAGCCCCTTGGCTCTATAATTTCTTAGAGACTGAAACTGTATGCATTTGAATATAATTTCAGACCTAAGCAAAATACATTTGGACATATTTAACAAATATTTTTCAAATGAATAAAAGCATACTCAGAAAGATAGAATAATTACTTGAAAAGGGAATTATGTGAAAGCCTTCAACTATCTGAAGAAATAAATCCATGACAACAGAGGGACACTAATAGAATTAACAGACCCACAAAAGGACTTAGATGTATGACTTTGAAAGTCCCCCAATTATTGCCTTTTGCCTTGAATGAAAATTCCATTTAAAGCTGTAGTGACTACATTAACACAGACATATCTTCTCTGATTACCCTCTAGTTATGGACGGCTGAATGCCTTATCATCCTTCAAGAACAACTTCCTGAAGAGCAACTGTAACATGAATCCTTGACATAGTACTAACAGCTCTAATATAAGCAATGTAGAAAAGAAAATGAGAAAGTAAACTCAACTCTTAAAGAGAAATACATAACAATGAACATAAAAGTCAATTTTTTATCAATGGTATATCTTTTATTGCTATAAAACCAGTAATTTTATAAAAGCACTGCTCTATCTTAAGTTACAGATCATTTCTATTCATCTCCCTCCATCAATTCTACCTCATATAAAGGTGAAGTGTCACAAAGATATATAAATTCCTTAGAGATGGAGTTTCTTCAGCCATTATCAGTTAGGTCTGGGTTTAATGTGAGAAAACACTCTAAAAGCAGTGGCTTTAAAATTACCAGTTTCCCTTAGAAGTCTAGAGTTGGTACTAGGGATCACCTTTTTATAATAGCCAGTTAGCAGCCAAGTTAAGAAGTACGACTTTATTACAGAAGGTTTTCCACCATACTACCAAGAATTCCAAATACAGGATTCTTTTAAGATTATTTTTACAAAATTAGTGAAAGTTAATGTATTTTAAAACCTTCTAAGTGATTAATAAATCCAGGATATCAGTTATTTCCAAATAGTGTATGGATTTAAGAAAAAAAATCCCTATTTTCTCCTTCCAAGCTCACAGCTTTATTAAGGTATAACAGACAAAAATTGCTTAATTTACAGTTTACAACATGACATTCTGATAAATGTATACACTGGGGGATGACTGAATCAGGGTAATTAACACCCATCATATTTAACAACTAACATATTTCAGACATAGTAACAGTAATTTTCAAGCATACATTAACTTTAAAAACCATGTAGTTAATGTCCATAATTTATTCATCCTAATTTTGCCTCCTATGACCAACAACTTATCTTCTTCTTTGACTAAAATGTTCCCCTTTTATTATTATGTCAAACTGAATTTAGGTAAGTCCAATGTGAATAAAGTTCATCTGTGGTTTCAAAATTTTTATGACTGATTTTCCAATTTGACTGATGTGGCCTAAGTCAGAAACTACAACAAAGTCATTTTACAAATGCTCCACTGAAACTTGGACGGGGTTACTACTAGCTTATTTTTTATTTTAGACATTATAACTAAGCTTTGTGCAGTTACCTACCTCATGATCATGTGTTTCCTAAGCAGGTTTTGCATAATAAAGGAAGAGATTTCTTTTTATTTTATTTTTATTTTTTTCTGTTTTTTAGGGAAGGGTCTACAGGGCGTTCAGGATCTCACTACTAGAACAGACTTGCAGTGATTCTCCTGTTTACAGCCTCCCAAGAACTGAGATTACAGGCGTGTGCCACCACGCCCAGTCTCAATTGCAGTCTCAGCATGCCCCAGTGTTGGGGCAGGCAAGGCCAGGCATTGAACCCTTGGCCCCTGCGCCTGAGCCTGCTTGTATGCACTTCAATCCGTTGAGCTATTTGGCCGGCCCTGAGAAAAGAGATTTCTTTAACAGCAAGTCATGTGGGTTCTCTGAATCTCATCTTACTTGGTACTCATAATGATACTAAACATTAAGTCCTTTATATTCCAACACCTCTAAGATCATTATTTAACATTTTGTTCTGTAATGTAAGTGCCTAAATTTGGTCTCTAAACTGAGCATATAAACATTATTTAGAAAAAAAAATCATTTAGGTGAGGTGGGGTGGCACATATCTATAATCCTAACACTTGGGAGACTGAGGTAGGAGGATTGCTACAAGTTTGAGGCCAGCCTAGGCTAAAATATGAGTTTAAGGCCTGCCTAAACTGCATAGCGAAACCCTGTCTGAAAAAGACAATAAAAAAAATAAATAACATTTGCCTGTTTGTACTTTTGCAGATCCACTTTCAGTAAACCAACTGAATTCATGCAGTTTTTCTAATTCAGAGGAATGCAAACTTTCTGTAAAGCAGCAGAAAGCAAGCGTCTTTTTTAGG